CTAATATTTTCCAGAATGTCATTCATTGTGCTTCTCTTTGCTTTCAGTTTGGTTTTATCATTTAATTGAATTAAATAATAGAGCACAAAAAAAGAGCTAAAACCTTAGTTCCTTGGGTGGAAATAGGTTTTAGAAGACTAAAATTGCTGTAGGGAAAGACACCAATTAAGGCTTGGCAAAAAGCAAAAGGGTGGTTACTATAAATTGTGAATTTAAAGTCTTTTGAACAGGGGCTAATTTGAAGTTTGCCACTGAAATTTATAAATACTTTCGTAGTAAGTTATTAAGACTTTAACAATGCTCTAAAATATTCTAACTTCCAAATAAGGACATTAATAAATAAAAACTTACTAGTACTTTTTAAAGTACTTATGTAATTAAAGCTGATCACATAAAACTAATTAAAATAATTATTTCTAATATTATTATTTGTATTGTTTTTGATTTTGAAAAGAATCATGGCTCCCAAATTTTGAAATACTATCTCTGTTTACTAAGGTAGTGCACTTTATTCTTCAAACTCAACCCATATTTTCAGTGAAGAGGGTCCAATTCTAACAGAAGAGAGGGATTTCAGTCAGAGCAGAAGAAAACACCTGCTGTTAATCCTGAGTGCACAAGTGGGCACTGGAGTGTCCTAAGTAGCCCCCACAGCTGTGAATGGAGGTTGACCTTGCTTTACTTCTGTCTCAAGTTGGCAGGTGTCAGGACGCCATGCTGTCTGCTCAGAAACACTCTCTTTTGAAGAAGCAATCTGCTCCATTGTGAATGCAAATTTTCATGTGTTCATGAATTAACACAGGGCAAGCTGGCTAAAGAGCTCTAGTTGACACATGTGGCTTTTGCATTAATAATTGGACTTGGAGGAAAAAGTCATCTCTGTTCCATGCTGTAAAACAATCTCAGAACAACTTTGCCCTCAAAGATGCTAAGTGCCTAACTAAGTGCCTTTAGAGGCTTTGAACAGGCAATGAGAGACTTGGCCTGTAAAATCTCTTCAAACAAAACTTTAGAGAGGAGAAGCTTGGGAAGGGGTAGAAGAGAAGGCTGGGAGGGGTAACTGGATCTTCTGGGGGTCATTTTTTCCTTAATGCTGGTATGTGGAAAGGGTTTGACTTTGGCACTAGACTATTTAACATGCCCAGGACAGGTACCACATCTTTCTAAATCAGCCTCTTCCATCATCTCCTCCACCAGTGCTTAGAATATTGCCCAGCTCTTTATAGACATTCCATGAAAGTCAAAATAAAACTAAGTAACATGCTTCTTAAATCAAGAGTAGAACATCCATTGTATCCCTTAAACCTTAGAACATCCATTGTATTCCTTAAACCTGATGGTGGGCATCCTCTCATTATTCATTCCTTTGGCTTTCATTTGCCCCACCAAAAATAAAATCCTACTTACATAGGGTTAGTAAGCATTTTGCATGTGTTAAAATAACTAAATTCCTTAAATTTACCAGAAGTAGGCACACAGACCGTACTCACTAATCACTACTTGATTCACTAAAAGAAAAAAAAATAAAAACATTAAACATTTTACTGAAAACAGTAAGAAAAAATAATTTTTATTACCTTGCTTTTCCATGGTAAAGTCATTTGGGGGATAAGGAAGAAAGGGTTCATTTTGAACCTGAGATCTCCACAGTGTCTATGAAACTGTGAAATGTATGGGAGGCATTTTAGAAGAGAGGTGTCAGATACAGAGATATCATTCTTTCAGAGAATCTAGTTCTAGAGCTATGTTCTAACACTTGGTATCAAAACAATTGTCTTTGAGTTCATGTGGACCACATTAAAGTCTTAGGTAACTCACAACCTTAACATTGATAATCTTGGAGTTTCACTTTGGCATCCATAAAAGGATTTTCATAATACTTTCTTCATTGCATTGTGGATGAGATTAAATGCAGTAACAGGTGGAAGTTCTTTGTCGATGGTAACATATACAAAACATAAGACATTATGTCATTGTTGTTGTTGTTAATTTCATGATAACCTCACAGCTATTACCAGAAAGCTTCAAGTGGAATAGGAATAGGAAGTTGGTACAGTTTCTCTGGAGCACATGCTTAGCAGAAGGAGATATTTTGAAAGGTGGAGCTACATTCCTGCCCATTGTGATACAGCAGTCTCCACAGAGGCCTAAGATAGGCTACTTTGTTAGAACGTTGGCTCTCCTTCCTGTCTAGATTTGTCCTTGTTTCCCAGCCCTGCTAAAAACAGAGATAAGAGATTGAAGGTGGCCCGGAAATTCTCCAATTCCTCAGGTGGACTGAACTCAAAACATTATTTCGTCTTTAAGAGCTACAAAAGACAACATAATTGGTCCCTCTAGCATTAGTATTCCCTTACTTTACACTATGCATTCAACAATTTTTTAATAATAAAGAGAATTAGTGTTTTCTGCTAATATTTTTGTTCGAAAATAAATCTCAATGTGGTTCAAGAATAGAGAGCAACCCAGCAAAATAGAAATTTCTTTAAGAATCCTGTATATAGAGAAGGTCACCTGATTTGTGACAGAGGCATTACTCTGCAACAAAGGAAAGTACATTTTCAATAAGTGGTGTTTGGTTAATTTCATTTCCACATTTTTTTAAAAGGCATTTTGACTTTTTTATCACATCATTATACAAAATCAATTCTCAGTGAATTCAGATATAAGTATGAGAGACAATAAAGCTTTTATCACTTAAAATATACATAGAAAAGCCTCCTCAAACATTGGAGTAGTCAGAGATTTCTTAAGTGGAAAGCAAAAAGGAAAAACTATAAGGAGAAAAAAATGTTAGATTGAGTTTTATTAAAATTAAGGATTTAGAAATGTTCATCATAAACACTTCTAAAAGAACATAAAGATATTACACAAAATGGGAAAATATATTTGTAATAAATATATTTGACTCATTCAAAATATAGAATGAACTCTAATCTGCATCTACCCACATACACGTATTTATAATATATTATATGTAACATTACAAAGCTCTAGTAAATCAATAGGAGAGTTCAATAGACTAAGGGAAAAGGATGTGAATTGATATTATACTTTATGAAAAGGCACAAAATAGCCAATAAAATGTATTAAAAGGGGTTTCAACTGATTAATCGCTGGGGAAGCACATATTAAAACATGATGTGAAATTATTGTATTCCCACCAGAATGCCTAAAATGAAAAAGGTGAAAATAAATGATAGTATATACACTCAGTGGAATACTATAAAGCAATGAGAATAATCTACAGCCCCACACAAAATTATAGATAAATTTCAGAGAGAGAGGATTGAAGGTTGCAGGTGGATACCCAACTACAAATGGGCCTTTGAGGAAAGAGCATTGTGGATCATTCATTAGAGAAACAACAGGAGACATTCAGAATAAAGGAGAAGGTGATGGAGTGATCCACTCACCAAGATCAGAAGGTTCCTGGGGGAGGCATCCACACATATACTTCCCCCACATTGAGTAAGTTTGTAGGACAGGAGGAGAGAGCCCTGAGGCTCCACGCTCCCCCCATAGACACCATCGTCTGAGCTGTGAGGGGGCCCCCAGCCACTGCCACAGACCCCCGGGCTGAGCAGGAGACTGTGTGGAGTCTGTGCTGCAGCATTGCATTGGAGAGCAGGCACAGCAAAGACCTGGTGGCTTCTGTTCCCAGATCACAGCAACTGACACCGTTCTGAATTCTCAGGCCCAGAATTCTATAGGCAGTTCTACACAGGGCTTGGCCTTGCTGCAGCAGCCCTGCATTGTTCCAGTCAGGCCAAGGAGCAGAGAGGGAGCAGAGAGCTAGTCAAAAGTCTTACATACCCCATGACTAGGAGCAAACACCACTGGGGCATTTGAGCAGAATGGGTGCCACAGACAACAACTGATAAGCTCTGCAGTAGCTCTCTCTGTGGGACTTGAGCAGGAGGGGATGCCCAGCAGCTCAGCCCCACAGCCTCACCCATGTATCCCCATGCTGCCCTGAGGGGCCCAGAGCTCTGCCCTCACAGTTACTGCACTGCCATCAAGCCCTGAGACTCTGCCCCCATGGTTCCTATGCTCAATAAAGCCTCAATAAACTATGCAAAGATGTAGAATCAACCTAAGTGCCTATCAGTGCATGAATAGATAAAGAAAATGTGGTATTTATACATACCATGGAGTACTATTCAGCCATAAAACAGAATGAAATAATGTCATTTGCAGCAACTTGAGCAGAACTGGAGACCATTATCCTAAGTGAAGTGTCACAGGAATAGAAAAATAAACACCACATGTACTCACTGTTAATTGGAAGCTAAACGTGGGTACATATGGGCACAAAGATGTGAAGATTTCCAGTGAAATAAGAAGGGGAGAGGTTGGGGGAGGTGAGGACTAAAAAACTCATCCACACATGAACACTATTCTGTTGATAGGGACTCCAAAAATCCTTGCTTAATCATTATCCAATGCATCCAAATAATAAAACATTTGTATCTCCTTAATATTTTAAAATTAAAAGTAAAAGTAAGTGAAAAAATAAAATAAAATTAGCATCTCTCTAAAAATTATACATGAATTTCCCTCACATTGAGCAAAAGAGGCTAGACATATAGTGTATATAATTCTATTTATATAAGGTACAAAAACAGGCAAACTAATTTCTATTGTCATAGGTCAGAATAGTTAGTGGAGGATGATGACAAGGAAATGGCACTACAGGAGTTTCTGACTTGCTGGTAATATTCTGGATTTTTTTAAATCAAGATTCTATTTTCATAGGTGTGTTCAGTTTGTGAAAATTTATTTAGCATAATATATATGTGTATACTTATGATGTAAGTTTGTATGTATATATACACTCACGTATGTACACAACTATTTTCACCTTCTAGCCATCATAATTTTACTTTAGAAACCAAAATTCCTTGAGAAACCTCATCAAATCTTTTGACTGGTTTTGCTGTTCTATTCAGGCTACAGTATGCATTTTTAAATTAATTTTGTTTCTTTTTTTTTTTCAGGGCCCTCCTGGTCCAAAAGGTGATAAGGTAAGAAAATGTATAGCAGAAACAAATTAAATTTTGGAAAGAAGTCTGGAGAACACTTAGAGAACTAAAAATAGAACTGCCATTTGATCCTGCAATTCTTTTATTAGGTATATTTCCAGAAGACCAAAAACTACATTACAACAAAGATTTTGTATTGGAATGTTTATTGCAGCCCAATTCATAATTGCCAGGTCATGGAAGAAGCCCAAGTGCCCATTGATCCATGAATGGATCAATAGACTATGGTATATGTACACCATGGAATACTATACAGCCCTAAAGAAAGATAGAGACTTTACCTCCTTCATGTTTTCATGGATGGAGCTGGAAAATGTTCTTCTTAGCAAAGTATCTCAAGAATGGAAGAAAAAGTATCCAATGTACACAGCCCTATTTTGAAACTAACTTATAGCTTTCATAGGAATGTTATAACCTAATTATAGCCTAAGAATATGGGGAGGGGGAAGGGGAGGAGAGAGGGATGGATGGGTGGAGGGTGCTTGGAGGGATCACTTCTATGGTTTGTCTTACAAGGGTACAAGTGAATCTTTCTAAAAGTAGAATATAAACATCTTAACACAATAACTAAGAAAATGACATAAAGGCTATGTTAACCAGTTTGATAAAAATATTTCAAATTGTATATGAAAATACTACACTGTACCCCATGATTACAATAATGTACACAGTTATCATTTAATAATAATAAAAAAAAGTTAGTAGTAACTTGTATTGCCATGACTTAAACTATATTATATTGTGTGCTTTTAATGAGCATCATGTGCTTAGATTTTGGTTAAAACTTTATTATCTCATCTTCTTTATTCTATAGGGAGAACAAGGTGATCAGGGACCTCGGGTAAGTTGTATTCTGCCTATCCGGGGCAGAAAATTCATTTCCAGCTTTGAATTTATTGAATTCAAGTACCCCAGCTTCATAATTGCCATTGTGCCACATGGTTTAGTGATGGCTGGCAAAAATACCATACCCCTAATAACTAATGTTTATATTCTGTTGTATTATCTTTACTTGATGCCTATAACTAGAACATTCTATGATAATTGGACCTACTGAGCAAGGGCTGGAATGATTTCTTAAAGTCCACAACAGCCACCTTTCCAATGACTATTGTGTCCTTCAGATTTGCATGCCTTGTTTTGCAACATAGAGGCCATATGGACTGCTATTGAATTTGGCCTTTTTTCTGCAGTTAAACTTTACGTGCTATTGCATAAATATGTTTTATTATAGATAAAAGTATTAATGCATTTTACATATTTATTCTTTGTTATAGTTTGAATAATGCATATTTATATTTCTTATTTTCTTATAGACTTTTAAGCAGATAAAAGGTGTGATACAATTTAGCATTGCAGAATGAAGGGGCATTCTTTTAAGCTTCTCAGATGTGGCGCTTTTAACCATTATAACACAATGGTGAATGCTTTGTTGTTACCTTGGTGGTGCCAAGTCCTCTACTTCACATCTGTGCCTTATTACCCAAATGTTCAGACATACTGTTTCAATGATGTAGTGGCTCCGTTCAGACATACCTCTCAATTTTCTCATGTCACTATGCACAAAAGCAAGTATTTGGTTGAAGAGAGTAATTTTTTTGTAGTGGAAAACACATTTAAAACTTTCAGGTTGAAAACAGAAACCCCATAGGTCTTTCTGTAAAATGCACTCTGCTTAGTTAATTATTCAATTTATACTGCATAAGGATGTTTCCACAAAAGGTACAGTTGATACAAACTTGAAAGGTTTGTGGTCTAATTATCTCTTCATGTTTCTTAAACTAGGTAAGAGTTATGCTATGATTGATTTTCCCTTCTATTCTTCAGCACGTCTTCATATAGAAATAACGATCAAAGCATTTTGTTTCTTGTGGCGGTTTTTCCAGCTGATGACTTAACTTTGAGTTAAAATCTCATCTTAATGGTCAAGGAGATTAAAACATCTTGTCCATCTACTGTCATGGATGTGAATGGATTAAAACTCTCATAACCTGAAATGATTAGGATACAGCCACTTGCTTTGTGTGTGGTGATTATTTCACGACATGACTCCGCATATTGAGTATCATTTCTTTCTACACACGATATCAAAGTCACTCAACTTTCCCTTTCTAGGTAAGGAAGGAAACTGTTTGCATTCTGAGAAATCTTCTTTTGGCAAAGGAAGCGAAAGGGTGGTTCACAGCTTAGCTGTCATCAGTATGCACACAGTCCTCATTTTCAAAAAGGTGTTTTGGCTTTCATCGTTACAAAGAGTGATGATTGATTATAAAGCTAGGCCAAATTTTCAGGATGAAACCCGAAACCATCTGGACTTCACCTGGTTTCATGTTGCATTACAAACTAAGACTTGGACCGGGTTCCTTGAAAGTTTGGCCAAAGTTCATGAACTACTTTGACAAACCCAGACTGCCTTTCATACAAATTTCAGCCAGTTTTCACACTGACTGGGGCCAAGTTTCACACAATTCAGGGGCCATTTAGCATTTTAGGTGGAAAGTGGCAAAAATTGATCTCATTTTCCCCTGAATTTTGCTTTGTATTGAAGGAATTTGGATTAAATTCATAATGCAGGATGAATCTTCATGGGTATGGATCTGACTGTCCTGGACAGTGTAAGTGAAAGAGAAGCAGACTCCCTGAATTACCTGTCTTTTCTCAGATTCCTAATTTAGAAACAAAGCAGGTCACATTCAATGCTCTTAGAATTTTATAAACATTACCGTCTGGCGTGATAGCATTAGCTACTTATTAGGAAATGTATCACATCAAGATAGTAAATTGAAGGTTTTATATTTAAAAACAAATCAAAAGTAAGAACTAGAAGTTTCCACTTTAATGAAAACAAATTCTTCCCACATCCTCTGCAGAGGCATTCCTATTCCAGCTAATGCTGACTAGTATTTCTCTTTTTTAAAATGTTGATATTTTTGTTTAAATACCCTGTCCATTTTCATCCTATGATAGATTTTTGAATTTCACTTTTTACTATTTGTTTCAAAGGATTTATTTCTTCCCAGAATTAGCTTAACAATATGACCCTCCAAACTGCATCATTTTAGTTCCTTGTTAAGTGACTTTCCATTATGGGGACCTATACCATTTCCTTGAATATGAGTTTTTTTTTTTTTCTCTTTGGCTCTCCAGGAATATCTAAGCCATGGTATATGGCTCAAAGCAGTAAAAACTTGAAGATAGTATAGAAACTAAGAATGTGAAACTATTTTGAAGTATTTGGACATATATTTAACACTATATAGTGAGCATCTGCCATGTTCAAGATACTCTGCTTACTATCATAGACACAATAAATGTGTCTCCTCTGTCTCTCTCTCTCTCTCCTACCACCAAATTCAACCTGCTATCACCTCATGTCCTTGATGACTACAGTGGTTTTCTAATCAATCTTATTCCCACTCTTGACCCTGTATAATCCATTTTCTACATAGCAGCCAAGGAGATCATTTTACGTTGTAAATTAGATCGCTTTACTCTTGTTTAAACCTGAGGATGAAATCTAAACCACTGTGCTTGGCCTCCATGGGCCTTCATGGTCTGCCCCCCCCCCGCCCCCGTCCCTACAAGCTCATCTCACACAAGTCCTCTCCACCACTGTGCTCCAACTATACCACCCTCCATGCAGTCTTCAGACACCCTGCACCCTTTCCATTTGCTCTCCTCTTGTCTTGTGATTGGGTTCTTTTTTTTTTTTAACATTTCAATTTTTTTCTTTAAAAGGAATGAGTTGTGTACAGAGGGCTTAAATGCTTCATAGACAAGAAAAAAAACTGTGCTAGAACCAACTTATTCATCATCATCTTCTTCGTCTTCATCTTCCTCCTCCTCTTCATCCTCTTCATCTTCCTCATCTTCCTCATCGTCCTCCTCTTCCTTCTTTTTCTTGCTTTTTTCAGCCTTGACGACTCCCTTTTTCGCTGCATCAGGCTTTCCGTTAGCT